GGCAGATAGGTCAGAGCATAGTCACATGACAGCTAACATCACCGCTCCCCTTGACACCAGCCAACACCAAATATTATGGTGGCAGCAGTGCAAAAGGAAAGAGCGGTGGGGGAGCACTGGGTATATAAAGTGATGGGGGCGGGCTCTATACACTCACCGTCACCTTACCCGGAATGAGAAAAGACAACGCTGGACTTGTTGCGTCTCTCTGGACACATAATAAATAGTCAGGGTGCGCAGCACCGCTAAAAACTGACTATTATACACCTCCTGAATGTATAACCCTGGAGATAAACACCCCAACCCCCCACCTACCCCGGGGTAAAGAAATCTACAACTACAGCCCTACACTGAACTCCATTCCAAACAAAACAACAACTGGTCACTGGTACAGTCTGAGATCATGTCAGAAGTGACATAATCTAAGCACACAATATTTACTACTGGCATGTTTATGTTTTGACACATCACCGCCCAAATCTTTATTCCTTTCATCCGCTTCTCACAAACATGTGACTCCCCATGTCCTGGGACACGCGATCCCGAGACTTCCTGTGCCATGGAAACATCTCTGGCTGTACTGTGTGCTCGTTGGAGGTGATCAATGGAAATAACGACAACGTATCGCTGGAAAGAACGACAACGTATCGCTGGAAAGAACGACAACGTATCGCTGGAAAGAACGACAACGTATCGCTGGAAAGAACGACAACGTATCGCTGGAAAGAACGACAACGTATCGCTGGAAAGAACGACAACGTATCGCTGGAAAGAACGACAACGTATCGCTGGAAAGAACGACAACGTATCGCTGGAAAGAACGACAACGTATCGCTGGAAAGAACGACAACGTATCGCTGGAAAGAACGACAACGTATCGCTGGAAAGAACGACAACGTATCGCTGGAAAGAACGACAACGTATCGCTGGAAAGAACGACAACGTATCGCTGGAAAGAACGACAACGTATCGCTGGAAAGAACGACAACGTATCGCTGGAAAGAACGACAAGGTATCGCTGGAAAGAACGACAAGGTATCGCTGGAAAGAACGACAAGGTATCGCTGGAAAGAACGACAAGGTATCGCTGGAAAGAACGACAAGGTATCGCTGGAAAGAACGACAAGGTATCGCTGGAAAGAACGACAAGGTATCGCTGGAAAGAACGACAAGGTATCGCTGGAAAGAACGACAAGGTATCGCTGGAAAGAACGACAAGGTATCGCTGGAAAGAACGACAAGGTATCGCTGGAAAGAACGACAAGGTATCGCTGGAAAGAACGACAAGGTATCGCTGGAAAGAACGACAAGGTATCGCTGGAAAGAACGACAAGGTATCGCTGGAAAGAACGACAAGGTATCGCTGGAAAGAACGACAAGGTATCGCTGGAAAGAACGACAAGGTATCGCTGGAAAGAACGACAACGTATCGCTGGAAAGAACGACAACGTATCAATGGAAAGAACGACAACGCATCAATGGAAAGAACGACAACGTATCAATGGAAAGAACGACAACGTATCAATGGAAAGAACGACAATGTATCAATGGAAAGAACGACAACGTATCAATGGAAAGAACGACAATGGGGGAATTTATCAAAACTGGAGCAGACAAAATCTGGAGCAGCTGTGCACTGCAACCAATCAGCTTCATTCTTTAGTGTGCTCGAGTAAGATTTGGAAATTAAAGGGAGAAGCTCATTGGTTGCAGTGTAAATCTGCTCCAGATTCTGTCTGCTAAATACAACATATCGCTGGGAATGAAAACAACGTAACGCTGGGAATACAATGTATCCCTGGAAATAATGTGTCACTGGGAACGAATACAACGTAACGCTGGGAACGAGTACAACGTAACGCTGGGAGCGAGTACAACGTAACGCTGGGAGCGAGTACAACGAAACGCTGGGAGCGAGTACAACGAAACGCTGGGAACGAGTACAACGTAACGCTGGGAGCGAGTACAACGTAACGCTGGGAGCGAGTACAACGAAACGCTGGGAGCGAGTACAACGAAACGCTGGGAACGAGTACAACGAAACGCTGGGAACGACTACAACGTAACGCTGGGAGCGAGTACAACGTAACGCTGGGAATGAAAACAACGTAACGCCTGGAATGAGTACAACGTGCGCTGGGAATTAATACAACGTAACGCTGGGAATTAATACAACGTAACGCTGGGAATTAATACGTCGTAACGCGGGGAATAATTACAACGTAACGCGGGGAATGATTACAACGTAACGCGGGGAATGATTACAACGTAACGCGGGGAATGATTACAACGTAACGCGGGGAATTAATACAACGTAATGCGGGGAATTAATACAACGTAATGCGGGGAATTAATACAACGTAATGCGGGGAATTAATACAATGTAGTGCTGGAAATGAATGTGTCGCTGGGAAGGAATACAACGTAACGCTGGGAACGAATACAATGTAGCGCAATGTATTACATGTCTGTACGCCAACCTCAGATCACTTATACCGCATCAGTGTACAGTCTATACAGCGTCAGCGTACACGAGTCCGGTCTATACAGCGTCGGCGTACACGAGGCCGGTCTATACAGCGTCGGCGTACGCGAGTCCGGTCTATACAGCGCCGGCGTACACGAGTCCGGGCTATACAGCGTCGGCGTACGCGAGTCCGGTCTATACAGCGCCGGCGTACACGAGTCCGGGCTATACAGCGTCGGCGTACGCGAGTCCGGTCTATACAGCGCCGGCGTACACGAGTCCGGGCTATACAGCGTCGGCGTACGCGAGTCCGGTCTATACAGCGCCGGCGTACACGAGTCCGGGCTATACAGCGTCGGCGTACGCGAGTCCGGTCTATACAGCGCCGGCGTACACGAGTCCGGGCTATACAGCGTCGGCGTACGCGAGTCCGGTCTATACAGCGCCGGCGTACACGAGTCCGGGCTATACAGCGTCGGCGTACGCGAGTCCGGTCTATACAGCGCCGGCGTACACGAGTCCGGGCTATACAGCGTCGGCGTACGCGAGTCCGGTCTATACAGCGCCGGCGTACACGAGTCCGGGCTATACAGCGTCGGCGTACGCGAGTCCGGTCTATACAGCGCCGGCGTACACGAGTCCGGGCTATACAGCGTCGGCGTACGCGAGTCCGGTCTATACAGCGCCGGCGTACACGAGTCCGGGCTATACAGCGTCGGCGTACGCGAGTCCGGTCTATACAGCGCCGGCGTACACGAGTCCGGGCTATACAGCGTCGGCGTACGCGAGTCCGGTCTATACAGCGCCGGCGTACACGAGTCCGGGCTATACAGCGTCGGCGTACGCGAGTCCGGTCTATACAGCGCCGGCGTACACGAGTCCGGGCTATACAGCGTCGGCGTACGCGAGTCCGGTCTATACAGCGCCGGCGTACACGAGTCCGGGCTATACAGCGTCGGCGTACGCGAGTCCGGTCTATACAGCGCCGGCGTACACGAGTCCGGGCTATACAGCGTCGGCGTACGCGAGTCCGGTCTATACAGCGCCGGCGTACACGAGTCCGGGCTATACAGCGTCGGCGTACGCGAGTCCGGTCTATACAGCGCCGGCGTACACGAGTCCGGGCTATACAGCGTCGGCGTACGCGAGTCCGGTCTATACAGCGCCGGCGTACACGAGTCCGGGCTATACAGCGTCGGCGTACGCGAGTCCGGTCTATACAGCGCCGGCGTACACGAGTCCGGGCTATACAGCGTCGGCGTACGCGAGTCCGGTCTATACAGCGCCGGCGTACACGAGTCCGGGCTATACAGCGTCGGCGTACGCGAGTCCGGTCTATACAGCGCCGGCGTACACGAGTCCGGGCTATACAGCGTCGGCGTACGCGAGTCCGGTCTATACAGCGCCGGCGTACACGAGTCCGGGCTATACAGCGTCGGCGTACGCGAGTCCGGTCTATACAGCGCCGGCGTACACGAGTCCGGGCTATACAGCGTCGGCGTACGCGAGTCCGGTCTATACAGCGCCGGCGTACACGAGTCCGGGCTATACAGCGTCGGCGTACGCGAGTCCGGTCTATACAGCGCCGGCGTACACGAGTCCGGGCTATACAGCGTCGGCGTACGCGAGTCCGGTCTATACAGCGCCGGCGTACACGAGTCCGGGCTATACAGCGTCGGCGTACGCGAGTCCGGTCTATACAGCGCCGGCGTACACGAGTCCGGGCTATACAGCGTCGGCGTACGCGAGTCCGGTCTATACAGCGCCGGCGTACACGAGTCCGGGCTATACAGCGTCGGCGTACGCGAGTCCGGTCTATACAGCGCCGGCGTACACGAGTCCGGGCTATACAGCGTCGGCGTACGCGAGTCCGGTCTATACAGCGCCGGCGTACACGAGTCCGGGCTATACAGCGTCGGCGTACGCGAGTCCGGTCTATACAGCGCCGGCGTACACGAGTCCGGGCTATACAGCGTCGGCGTACGCGAGTCCGGTCTATACAGCGCCGGCGTACACGAGTCCGGTCTATACAGCGTCAGCGTATGAGTCCAGTCTATACAGTGTCAGCGTATATGAGTCCAATCTATACAGTGTCAGCGTATGAGTCCAGTCTATACAGTGTCAGCGTATGAGTCCAGTCTATACAGTGTCAGCGTATGAGTCCAGTCTATACAGTGTCAGCGTATGAGTCCAGTCTATACAGTGTCAGCGTATATGAGTCCAATCTATACAGTGTCAGCGTATGAGTCCAGTCTATACAGTGTCAGCGTATGAGTCCAGTCTATACAGTGTCAGCGTATGAGTCCAGTCTATACAGTGTCAGCGTATGAGTCCAGTCTATACAGTGTCAGCGTATGAGTCCAGTCTATACAGTGTCAGTGTGTCTATACAGTGTCAGTCAGTGTATCACAGACAGTCCATATTTGCCCTCCATGCAGTGTCAGGCGGTCTCTACAGTCAGTCGGTGTCTAGTCTCTCAGGTCAGCGTGTACATTCAGTACAATGTCGGTGTGTCCAGTGTCGGTGGACTCACTCAGGTCGGTGTCCCGGGCGTCCCATGTGGTGTCCGGTGTCCCTTCCTCCGCCCGGCCGCTCTCCTCTCATCATTCTCCGGCTTTTCCATAGCAGCGGAATCAGCGGAGCGCGAGCCGACCCCCCACATGCTACATACCCGCCCAGAAACGCCTAGCCCCGCCCATCCCCTGCCTCTCATTCCCAGCCTCTCATTCCCACCAACTTCTCACTCCCCATGAGAGTGCGGAGTTCGTATTGCTGCCTAACTCTGCACCAATCGGCTGGTCGCATGAAAAGTGGGCGTGTTTCCTGCGCAGCACGCGGAGCTGTGCACACGTGACTGTGGAATCAGCCTGAGCTTCATTAGACTCAGGCTAGGTGTAATCTCCGTCTTCATCATGTGGGTGTGTTAAATAGGGTTGCCACCTTTTCTTCCTGCGAAACTCGAACACTCTAGCGGCGCACATACATTTTTTGGGGAATATGAGTCGTGGCTTTTTCATATGTAAATAGCGTCACCCGTTTATGTGTAAATATCACAGTCAAGACTATTTTAAGTTGGGGGCCCAATAGCCCCTATCTTAATTTTGGTTGCCCTTGTTTGCCTGACAACATGTGTCCGATTTTCAGCTGCCATGAAACCTGGACACAACATTAAAAACCCTGACTGTCCGGGTGAATCCTGGACAGGTGGCAACCCTAGTGTTAAAGCAAACCTGTCATGAAAGAACTTTTATATGTCTACCATTGCTGACCTTCTTGTGGAAATTCTAGTGACCTCATTGCTATTCATGTACCCACAACTTTGCTACTGCTTGGCAGAGCTGTCCTCCAGAGAAGTGAATGGGCAGAGGCCGGGCAAGCTGTCCTCCAGAGAAGTGAATGGGCAGAGGCCGGGCAGGCTGTCCACCAGAGAAGTGAATGGGCAGAGGCCGGGCTATGTTCTCCACCATAGAAGTAACTGGCCAAACTGTCCATCATACAAGTGAATGGCCAGTGGCCGGGCTATGTTCTCCATCATAGAAGTAACTTTATAGCCTGGCCAAACTGTCCATCATACAAGTGAATGCGAAGTGGCTAGGGCCAAGCTATCCAGCACAGAAGTGAATGTGTGGTGACCAGCTGTCAGAGGACTTACCAACCACTGACTCTCAGGCATTTTTCCTCCCATTGACATTCAGCTATGCCAGTTTTTATCACACCTTTCTAAGTTTTTCTCAATCTTCAGTGCAATGTAGCTAACCCCAGCGTATTATCGACCTGTTCTACACTCCACATGTCTTCTACTCATTAAGATGTGCCTCCTTCTAAAATCCTAAGGTTGGGAGTTATGGCGATGCTGACCTTGTTTCAGACCAGTTACCACCCCAGCACATCTGATGCAAATCAGTCAGAAGTCCTTATCTGGCATCTGGGTCTAGGTCAGAGATTTGAAGCACTGATATGGGGCAGCTCAATGGCTTTGTACTTATAATTTGCAGCACTGGAGTCCCGGCCAGGACATTACTTGCATTAAGTTTGCATGTTCTCCCTATACTTGCATGGGTTTCCTCCGGGTACTCCGGTTTCCTCCCACACTCCAAAGACACGCTGGTAGGCTAATTGGCTCCTGTCTAAATTGACCCTTGTATGTGTGTTTGCATGTGAGATAGGGAGACTTCAGATTGTAAGCTCCTCAGGGCAGGGACTGATGTGAATGTATAGTATTGTAAAGTGCTGTGTATATTGATGGTGCTATATAAACACTTTTAATAATAATGTGCTTGGCATGACAGCTAAGATTTTTTTATAATATATGAAAATACATAGGGCGGGGATTTATATGTGGGCCTTTCATAAAGATGATGTACTTTAAGAGACACTGTCACCTTACCTATGTAGGGCAAAATGACAGTATGTGTGTAAAGAGCCCATCCGGCCCCAGTTACCCCCACCTTACCAATGCTCTCTCGCAGCCCCTGTCTTCACTGCAGCAGCGCGTTGTGTTGCCGGCATAGGCAGGGGAGGTAAGGAAACGCTGAGAGTGGGGTAGGCATTTACTAAGACACTGTCACTTTGCCCTACATAGTCAAGGTGACAGTGTCTCTTTAAAAGGAGGAACAGATGTGTAAGAAAGGGAGGCAGAAGGTTATGGGTCCAAATCATGGACAGTTGGGAGCTTTGGGTGTTAATAATAGAACACTGTTTAGTCGTAAAGATGTTAGGAAATAGTATTCGGCAACTAATAGCTTTATAGACAGGAAATGCTGCTTCCCTACGGGGGGGGGGGAACTATTGCTGAGTTTCACACAGAGAGGAATTAACCCTTGAACTTAAGCCATGTGTTTATTCAGAAGTTGTTGCAAAAGTGCAAAAATGATATCCAGGAACTCTTATTTACCAGCGGAGACTATTTAAATGGACAGTACAAAAAAAATTGGCCTCCGAGGCCGGTGTTTCCACTCCCAGCCATAGCCCAGCGCAGGCCTCCCTCTGCTTCAGTCATTGGTTGCTAGGACTGCTGGCTTCCTAGCAACCAATGTTGTCAGGACGGGCCAGCTGCAGCATTTTTTCCGATCGCACTGCAGCATAATGGAGGGCATTCCTGTACCTCACGTTCTGGAGCGGACAATCACACTGCAGACGGTGGGGCAGGCCTGAGGTACCATTGGCATGAATGGCACCGCCACGCCCCCTCCTGCCCCAGAATGCGGGTCTGGCTTGATCTTTGCGATCCAATTCATTCTGGGATCGGACCGCACCGGAACGCACTGGATATGGTATGACTGGGCCCTTAGAGAGGAGCCTTTGGGGGACCAGTCATACAGATGGAGGAAGAGCAAGCTAATAAGGTTAAGTATTACACATTATTCCTCCACCCCTAGGCTTAGCAAGCAATGAACCCTTGCAGTGTACGGCTATGTTTTGTCAGCAAGCAAATGCGTTGTATGTTTTTTTTGATCATTTGATATTAGGTTAAAGTGTAACTAAAGCCAAAACCGTTTTTCGTTTTGGATAGAGTAAGGGAGGGATAATGTTTGTTGTTTCCCATAGGGGAGATTTCCCTCCACCTACTGTCCCATAGCCACAATGTGAGGAAATCCGTGTTGTCTCCAGGGTCACAAGTGTCCCTATTGGAAGATTTCCCTGCTCTTCCTGTTCTGGTGACAACTGAAAATCTAGGATTTCAGTGGTAATGGTCACCAGAATAAAGCTGAATCTCTGTATTGGGGACCCAGACAGCAATTAAAATCTGACAGGTGTGCTAATCCCTCTCTGCTTTATCCAAGGGTGCCCACACACCTTACGCTAATCGTACGATAATCGCGGGAAATCCCGCGATCGTATGATTATCGTAAGGTGTGTGGAAGCCGTGCGACCTCTACTACTGTAAGGTCGCACGACTTTTAACTTACGAACATGTTCGAAAACCCGCCGAGCATCGTACGATGTTCGCCGGGTGTGTAGCATGTTCGTAAGATAAAAGCCGGACGGGCTGGTGTGCGCAAGCGTACACTGCTCATTCGGCATTGCGGTCATCGGAAGCCCGCCCCTCAGGGGGTGCGGCTTGCGATCACCGCAAGTACGATCTGCCTGTCCAAATAGGGAGATCGTACGTTTTTTAAATTACCTTACAACCATCGCAAGACAAAAGGTGTGTCCCATACTTTCTGCGTAGTCACCAGGAAGTGAGAAGAAATATTTGTATTTTCCCACTAGGCATTATAATATAATCAGCCTGGGTCTATCACACGGGGAGGAAGTACAGTGGAACACTAAAACTTCTGTCATTGTCATATGCTTTGTGTATGTTTTTTGTTCCATTTTCCATCTAGGCAGGGAGTCCATCAATCAGGGATGTGGCTGTCTTATCTCATCCGTCCCTGTCCCCCTCAACGCCCCCAATACACGCACACAATGCCCCCCACACTCTCTGAGAGCAGAGCAGGCTTATGGATGTCCGTGGACGAGTCAGTTCTTGTGTGTAAACACAGGACCATGAGAAAGAAACATGCGGTCACATCCGATGGGAACTGCGTTTCCTCACAGCTGGAGGAAGACTGCACATTGTGTATCGCTCTTCTTTCCCCACTGCTCCAGCTATCACTAACCTAATAATCAAATGACAACATGGCGGGGAATGGGTTAAATCTAGGAGATTTTCATGTTCAAAAAGAACAATAATGAAATGTGCAGTATTTATAGGAAGACATTAACGCCAAACTCATTAACTGTATTTTAGCATACATGGAGCCAATGCTGAGACAAGGAGTTCATCCAGTGCCCAGGGTGAAGATGCCATAATGCGCCCACCTTCCGCTGGATGTGTGCACCCGATCATCTTCTGCAGCTGGGAGTCCACTCCTAGACACCACTGCTAGCGGACCTGCTCAACCTCAGTCCTGCCAGTTGGGTTACAAGAACCTGGCCTGCTGCCTAACATACAACAGTAAGGTGTGTGTATTGCACAGCACAGTGTGCAGAGTATGGCGGTCAAGAGAATGTAATGTACAAAGTATGTTGCATAATCCTGACTTCTGCACTACACTGCGCTGTGTCGTATGTTGCACACTCCTAACTGCTGAACTTCCAGGCTACAAGGTCAAGAGGGCTAAACACCAAGCACAGGGTAATGGAATTTTGGTCAGGTTCCATATCCACTCGGTCAGTGGTGCAGCATGTAGGTTGATGGGTTTGCAACCAAGATAGGGCAATGTCAGGGCTCTGTAGCAGCATAAACCCCCAAAAAGGGGAAAAGTCTATCTATGAGCATTCTCAGGCTAATCAGTGGCATCTAAAGCAGCTGTATGGAGGTTCACTGTGACCCAAGCCCCATACTCTTGAATAAAAGAAAACAGATCCACACTGTCTTGGAAGGAGGAATTGGATACAGGCTTTGTGAACCAGTAAATTATCTCCTCTGGCTACTATGGCTGGTAACTCTAGCTGAGGAGGTGCAGATTTAACTTGCCTTTGGTGTACGGGGCCCTGAAACTGCTCTGGCATGCAGGACCTTCTTGTAGAGCAGATTGCCCCCTACTACATTCACGCCCA